CCTTCCAGAAGAAGGAAGTTCGGGCATGGCCTTTAGCCAGCGAGCAAGGCCGCGACCTTGAAGAAGCCCTTGATGATGAAATTGAAGCCCATGGAGCAGAAGCAGCACAACCGAGGAGGGCGCGACCACCAAGCCAACCGGTCGAGCCTGAAGAAGTTTCAGCTGAGGAGGCAGTGAGAGCCCAACTTCGAAGTGTGACGGAAGAGCCCAAAGTTCGACACGCTTTGAGAAAAGTTGAAGACTTTCGCAAGGTGTCGAAGGGCGAGTTCTCATTGTCGCCGTCCGTTAGACGAGAGATCCACAAGATTCACCGCAACCTGGGACACCCAGGAAATGACCTCTTTCTCCGAGCCCTTCGTCATTCCGGAGTGAAACCAAGCATTCTGGATTGGGTTCGCAACCACTTCTCATGTCCAGCATGCAAAACCCTGGACAAGCCAAATCCACAACGACCAGGTCATTTGTTGCGGGCTCTTGAGTTTGGACAAGTTGTGGGAGTCGACCTCTTTTTCATAGAAGTCGAGGGAGAGCTCCTTACCTTTTTGAACATGTTGGACTGGGGCACAAACTTCCAACAAGTGGCCCTATGCCAGAATCGGACCTCAGAAGAGGTTCAAAAAGTTTTCCTTTCAGAGTGGACCAAGCACTACGGTCCGCCCTTGCTTCTTGTGTCAGATCGAGGACCAGAGTTCACAGGCCAGCGGTTTCAGGAAATGATTTCAGGTTTGGGCACCACCATCCACTATACCAACAGTCAATCTCCGTGGCAAAACAGTCGCACGGAAAAAGCAGGAGGGGTGTTCAAAGAGAAGTTCAAGGCTGTAATGCGTGCAGCCTCAGCTACCAAAGATGAAGTCCCAATGGTGATTGCTGAAGTTGTGAATAGCAGGAACCGGTTCATAGATCGGTGGGGGTTCTCGCCGATGCAACGTGTTTTCGGCAAGTCACTCCGGCTTCCAGCAAGCCTTTTGTCGACAGATGCCCTCGACCATGAACTCATGGAACTTGCTGCAAGTGACCCCATCAGAAGACAATGGCAAATCAGGGAGCTTGCCTCGCAGGAGTGGCTTCGACGACAAGATCGTGCAGCTGTTCAGAGGAGCGTCCACGCAAGGACCCGCCAAACGGACAAGAAACAGTTCAAGCCTGGCGAATGGGTGTACGTGTTCAGAAACACCCCAACCTTTCGAGGATGGGCAGGCCCAGGGGTTCTTTTAGCAGAGAGTCCAAGTGGCACAGGCTGGTGGATTTCCATGCGTGGCAGACTTTGGCAGGTTTCCACTGAACAGATTCGTATGGCCACACCAGAGGAGAACCTTGGAGCAGAACTTGTTGCAGAACTGTCCCAAGATCTTCTTCAGAAGCTTCAGTCACCGGGGCAGATTGCCTACCAAGACATCACCAGAGAGGACATTCCAAATGAAGCAGACTTCCAGGAAGAAGAACTCTTGCGTCTCCTTCGCATTGAGGAGGCACCTCAGGCAGACCCTTCAGAGCACCACCATGCGACTGAGGACGTCGATGCTGAGATGACAGAGACTACACATGTGGAGGAAGCTCCATCGAGCCTTGAAACATCCAGCCAGGCTCAAAGTCGTGATGACCCTTCAATGAGCTCAATGCCTCAGAGTCGCAGAGTGAGTTTTCTTGAACCTCATGAACCACCAGTACTTCCTGCCCTACCAGAGGAGGATGTAGACATGCCGCTGCAAGACATCGGCGTGAGAGAAGAGGAACCAGAAACTCCCACTCTTCCTATGGGAGCTGCGCCAAAGCAGGATGACATTCCAATGATTCGAGTAGATGAAGGCAGCAGTGGAAGCTTTCATTTTGGCCCATCAAGCCGCTCAAGAACCGATGAACGACCGACCCCATATCCTCATCCGTTCTCAGCTGGACCACCATCGTTGCCTCAACCGCCAGGTCACTCCACTTACTTGGAGATCAAGGACTTTGACCGGGATGAGGACCTTCAACAGCTGGGCGTTCGAGGAAGCTTCATCGGCGCCACCTGGCGCTATGATCGTGAGCAGAGAAAAAGGGTCGTTTTGCCTGACCCTTCTTCCACAGCCACTTTTTGGTCACATCGGGGTGAAGCGAGCTTTGACTACCGTGATCAATGCATGTACGTCTCCAAAGCAAAATCATCCTTTGGTCAGGTGGAATTTGCCAAATTGAATGATGAGCAGAAGGTGCTTTTTCGGGCCTCTCGAAAGAAAGAACTGGACAGCCTTCTCAAAAACAAAGCCATCCGGATTTTGAGCATCGAAGAAAGCCTTCAGTTTGCCAAAGATCATCCGGAGCAGATCATTGAGTCGAAGTTCGTTGACAGATTCAAGCCAAAGCCGGTTGAGTTGTCCACGCTTGAAGCTTACAAGCGTCGGGCCATCCAAGAAGGACACCTGGAAGCCATCGAGCTTGAAAGCGATCAACAGAATCCCAAAAGCCGGTTGTGTGCTGTGGGATGGCATGATCCACAGATACACGAGGTAGAACGATCTGCTCCAACACCTTTGTCAGCATCGATTCACTGTTGTCTCCAACTAAGTGCATCGAGACGATGGAAGACTAAGGTCAAGGATGTGAAGACAGCGTTCTTGCAGTCTCTTCCAACCACCAGGAGTCGCTTGCTTGCGTGTCGGCAGCCAAGAGATGAGACTTTGCCCGGTCTGGACTCTCGCCAGCTGATCTTGCTCCTGACGGAGATTTATGGGCTAGTCTCTGGCCCTTCATGGTGGAGGAGGACTTTGTTGAAAATAGCAACCGAAGAACTTGGCTACAACGTCAATGTGTATGACAAGTGTGTCCTTACACTGTCAGCACAAGATGCATCACCAGAGGCCTTGACAGAAGGCTACATGGTCATTGAGGTTGATGACATTATAGAGGCTGGTGGGAAACGACATGAAGCTCTCATGAAGAGAATGGAAGAACGGTTGAACTTCGGCAAAATCGATGAGTTGTATGGCACTTCCGGCACAAGCTACGCCGGAAGACACCTCAAACAGCTTCCAGACTACAGCTTTGAAAGTCACATGGAAGAGTTCCTGTACACTAGATTGGAACCAGTGAAGCTGAACCGGCGCATCCTCAAGAAAGACGCCGCGCAAGTTGACCTCTCAGAACATGAGAAAACACAACTGAGGGGACTTCTGGCATCGCTCAACTGGGTGTCGAGAGAAGCTCGGCCAGATGCTGCCGCTGGGGCTTCCGTCCTGGCATCGACGTTCCCGAGTCCAAAGGTTTCTCACCTCATGGAGGCCAACGAAATTGTGAGGCATTTGAAAACATGCCCGGTGACGCTTCGCATTTATGCCATAGAAGAGTCAAAGCTTCGACGCTTTCTGGTGGCAGACTCGGCGTTCGACACGTCGGGGCAAGAGAAGTCTCAGTTTGGGTTCTTGCTTGGGTTCACAACGCCCGACTTCAACCAAGGCCGCAGTGCACCGATGAGCTTGATGCAATGGAGGTCCCGACGCCTCCGTCGCAAAGCAGCCTCTTCCTTGCTGTGTGAAGCCATCAGCATGTCAGCTGCGACGGCCGCCATGGAGCGCTTGGTGGCGTTCTTTGAGTCCATCAGGTACTCTGGATTCAACCCAAGGTCAAAGCAACGAAGTGAAGACGAACTGCTCGCGACCTTTGGCAAGACAAAGGTCATAGCTGCGGAAGTTGAAGCTTTCAAAGACCCTCATGGAGTCGCCTTGATGGATGCAAAAGCTCTGTACGACTCACTGAATAGTGACCAGTCGCAGGGTGGCACAGATGACCGGGCGACTTTAGAGATTGCCATCATCAAAGAATCATTGGCAGTGACACAGACGCGTCCTAGATGGATTCCTCACAACTTCAATCCAGCAGATGCACTGACAAAAGTGCAAGGGTGTCATGCCGAACCTCTCATGCGCTTGCTGCGAACCGGTCACATGACCCTCGAGGAAGAGTCGGATGTTCTAGAACGTGGAAAACAGTCACAGCATCGCATGAAGGTCGGCACCAGAAACACCCGAAGTGAAGGAAACAGAATTCTTTGGGGGCTGATGAACCGAAGTTGAGCCTTTGTACACTTTCCTTCACTTCCGCGGCCACGAACTCTTAGGCGCCTTGAGCACTGGAAAAGATGTTAGCCGACCGAGAGAGTCGAACGAGACCTCGGTGTTTTCCTCAGTGATTGGTTTGTTAGATCCTAGTTCCTTGGTCGGTCCCTTCGTTCTGCTTCCACTGATTGGTCTAATCATGCATCATTGATTGGAACTGTGTGTGTGTAACGTAGTCGTGCAAGTTTGATTCAACTCCTCAACCAGCAGCGGGCAAGCGGTTGGATAGGAAAAAAACATGTATGTAAAAATATGTAAAATATTCCAGATTCATTTGTGGACCCACAGATCCGAGATAGGATACTCAATTAAACCCGCTGCTCTCGGGAAGAGCAAGAAAACACTCCCAGAGGCCTTGCTCCGAATTGCTGTGATAGTTTCCCCACTGCTCAGATCCTGTTTGCATCATCGTCTGAGAGTTCATGCTCCAGCCGGAGGAGGATTGGATGGGCGCAACACAAATTGTATGCACGTGGAAAGGCGTGAACAAGCTGTCCATCCGTATTCATTTGTCTATTTGTCTTACTAACTCATACTGGATCTGGTTGAGCACCCCTTGTTTTGAGAGACACTTCATGTCTTGTATGTGTGCAGCATATGATGGCTTTGACTTTTGGCCAGAGATACTGTTCATTCAAGATTCAGCCAAAGCTTTTGACAGGCATTTTGGAGTATGTTCACGTGTTTGCTTGTTTGGTCTTGCTGATGTTGCAGCTTCAATCCTGGAGGGTAGTCTAGAGTCTAGCTTCCAGAGTTCCCAAACTTGCATCAGCTGGGATTCTGTTCTTTGCTTCGTTCATGAGAGTGGGCCACGCATGGGCTTTGGAGATGCAAAGGATTGTGGTCTTGTGGCCGACAGCTACGAAGACAACACCCTCGGAGGACGCAGTCGCTCGGAATCGCTGAATTCTGCAGTCGCTCAGAATCGTGTTTTCGAAGTCCTCGAAACCCATCGAAAGCCTGCCTTTGACCTCTAAATAGTAAACCCCCCCTCGCCCCCTGTGATTAAGTTCTGATCCTAAATAGTCATAAATCCAGAAAAATGTTGATCTGATCTGAAGTTGAAATAAAAGGAAATTAAAGGAAAGAACGGAAAATGAAAGGAAAAGAAAAGGAAAGAAAGGGAAAGGAACAGAAAAGGAAAGAAAAGGAAAGGAAATGAAAGGAAAGAAAAAGAAATGAAGGCAAAACAGGAAAGAAATGGAGATGAAAGGTTTGGAAGCAGCTGAAAGTCAGGGTCCAGAAAAAATGATGTTTTATTCAGGTAAATTTGTTAGTCAATTTATTAGTTGTTTTGGAACAAGTTTGGAGTTATTCACGGGCAAATTATAAAGGTGATCAATACGTTTGTAAATTTTAGTAGTGTAGTGTATGGTCCTGCAGTGTGCAAAACCTTGAGAACCACTACTGTAGGGGGATGCTCGACAATTCTGGATGCAAGTTAAATGCACTGAGCAATTTCTGTGAAACATTGAACATAAGAGTGGTGATTTGGCATCACTGTTGGAACTGAGAAGCCATACATATATGTGTCAGCTGCTCACAAGCATCAGGTGTAACCACCTACAAGCAAGGGACCTCAATTGAAACCAGAGACAGGACACGAGCCGCGGCGCTTGGTCAAAGCTGGGCCGAATGCCGGTACGAAGGCCGGACGAGTGCAAGGCCTTCACGAATGGCCTTGAGTGGAAGGCCCATGTGGATCAGTTCGGTTGTGCAGCAACTTGCAATCAGCGTTCCAAGCCAAGTTGGATTGAGATTTTGTGGCTGCCACCTTTCCAGCGTCACTGGCCGGCAGGGCCCGTGTGAGAGGAACTGTTGCTTGGCTTCAGGGCAAGGGCTTGCGCGGCTTTTGCATTTCGCTGTAGAGTATATGTATAATATTTTAATATTGTATAATATATCCTGCTTTTGCTTTTGACCAGCAACCACCAGAACGTTGCTCAAGAGTGGAGGTCAGTGCGGTGAATTGTGCAAATCCAGTTGCCTATTGTTTCTTCACCAAGGAAGTAGTTACTGGGAACTCAATTGTTTGCTTTAAAGCCTTTCCCAAAATTGCTTTGTGGAGCACCTAGGGAGGACTAGTGACTAGTTGCGTCCGGTCCTCAGGTGCCCATCCGCCACCCCCCAACGGTCACGACCGGCACGCGAGGTTTGTTTGCCCACCTCCTTCGTCTTCACACCACCCCACCGCTGCGGTGCGGACGAGGAGGACACCCAAACACCTCCGGACGAGCGTCCGACGGGACGGGCGCCAGAAGCAGAGGAGGCGGGAGAGCACGAGGTGGTGAGACCTGAATGATGCGAAGGATTGCATTGGAGATTATCTTTGGAACAGCTAAGGGAGGGAGAGTCCAAAGTTTGGGTGATTAGGTGGCCAAATGATGCTCAATGAATATCAATGTGAGAAGCACGGGGTCAATGGTACAACATGTCATCATCTTTGTTTGCATCTTTTTGCACACCGTTCAGCTTCAAAGAAGCTGCGTGTTCAAAAGGTAGGATGCCACACGCGTCAGGCGCGCTTGGAGGTGGAACATGCATTGGCCCTTCACTCAAAGTGTGTCGATGAATTCTGGGGAACGGACTGTCGCTTGGTCGCTTGGTCCTCCCCACCAAGAGAGTAATAGGATGGTAATAGGATGGAATAGGAATCGACGGAAGTGCCCGGAGACTCAAACGGACTGCCAACAGCTTGGTAGATAGGTGTGCTTCGGAACCGGCCACCCCTGGAGCGGGCCGGAGGAGGCGAACGGACCGATCCGGTCTCAGGCGCAAAAGGCTTTGGCCTACGGGGAGGCTCTGGAGGTGCGGCTGGGGAAGAAGAGGTCAAAGAGGACAACTCCGAAATAGACATAATAGGCCAAAATAGGCCATTTGACCCAAGGGCTTGGTCTTTTGTGAATCATCCCAGCCTGGGTAGCATGAAAAAACCGGAAGTCCTTTGCAGACAGAGAACTTGTCAGACTGTCCACTCTTAAAGTGACCATTTTGTTCATCAGAGCGGGTAGAACCTCGTGGGTCCACCGATCCATTATAGAGACTGTCCACCTGGGCCTTGTCGAGCGGGCGTCGTGTCGAGCGGGCTGTCCGGCGATGGACCAGCGATCAACCAAAGAGCCCAGCCAATTGTTGTGCCGCAGACGAAGAGAAAGTCGTACCCTTTTCCGTGTTTTTGGTCATGAAAGTGTCCACGGACATTGGCCCTTTGTAGAGGAACATGGGTGTTTTTAGCAGCGAGACGGAACAGACGTCACAGACGAGTCTGGGTGTTTCACCCGGTGCGGTGCCCCACTTGGCATCCACCTGTGACCGGATCAGTGCGTTTCCAAGCGCTCGTAGGTGGTCCATAGATGCGTGTTGTTTCTACTTGGTCAATGGGGCCCCTCTCCGCTGACTTTCTAGGATACCTTAGATACCTTAGCGTCCAGGCTCCAAACATCTTCTATCTTAGGATATCCAGGATCCAAAACTCTCGCACATCTTTGGTAGGAACATGATGTTCCACAATACCCAAGATACTCGTCTGCCTTTGGTGCTTTGGGGGGTTGAGAACTGTCTTGCCCATCCACCTTTTAAGTCAACAGAACTACATTAATGAAAACGATTGAAAACGTGGGATTTAATGGGACACTGACAACGGGATCTCCAATGACTTCGAGACTCTTCGTGAATGCTCCGCTTTGCTCCGCTGCCAGGCCGAGCGAGCCAGTTATGAAGCAGAGCAAGGGGGCCAAGCGGTTCCAGTATTGATTTTTCTAGAAGTTCTATGAAACTCCACGGAACTTCGTAAATGTGTTGTTCAATCTCTTAAGAGTTTGTCCACGTGTCCTAGACCAACTCTTAAGAGACTCGTACATCGCTGGGAACGCATACATCGCTTGCAGCAGCTCCTTCTCACCGGGAGCTTTGCTGCTACTTTGCGTGGGATGTTGGTTTGACATGCTTAAAGGTCCTTGCTTGACACAAAGTTCAAAGATCCTGAAAGAGCATGAAGCTTAAAAAAGCTGTGCAGCTGCGCCGACAGGCTGGCTCGGAAGACTCAGGAAGCGGAGGATCGACAGGTTGGGAAGAGACTTGTCCGCTACAAAGGAGTTTGTGGTTAAGATTTGCAGACCATTTGGACCAGTCACCAGCAATTCTTGCAAGACGCTAGCTAGCCGACTGTGATCTCGACACATGACATCGCATCGCATGTTTTCTCCAGCTGCCAGTGTTGTTCATGTGGATTGTGTATTGTTTTGGTTCCATGAGGTTGGTGGTCCAGTGCGCAGTCCAACATCATGTTGTATCAGTTTATAAGAAGTTGATGGCAAAGTGTCCATTACACACCTATTAATGCACTACCGTCCGTCTTCCTAAAGCCTTTGCAATGCCGTTTGTTGTTTTGTTCATTTCGCCGAGTGAAGCCTTTGGCACGCCACCTAAGTCCAACGCACGTCCGCCCATCGTGCTCAGCATAGGCCCAAGATGGCAACCATATTTTTTATTTTTTCAAATGAACATCAGCACGCTCAGGATAAGAGCCAAATCCAAATCCGGCAGCAGACAAGTCTATCAGGGTCTAAGGCATTGCGCCTTTTAGCCAGGCCTTTTCCCTTGGAGGTTCATCAAAGGTTGCCTCCATTTTTCTTGTCGGGGACTTGACTTGTTCACAAGCCAAAGGTTTGGATCATGACTTCAGCTTGATGTCACCATACTTTCCCGAGAAGAAGGATACTAAATTGCCTCGTACATCCTCATACATTTGTAGTAGTTGCCGCCCCTTTGTTAAGGCCGATGGACTCCATGTGTTGAGCATAGAAAATGGATGAAAATGGTCACGTCATTTTCTAGGAGTGCTTGGCAGGATATAGAGACACCTCTGCCTCTTTGAGACCTTCAAAAGCCAACAGATGTGAAGCGGTGGACGGACTCCCGAGCCCAGCACCACCCTCACCATAGAAGATCCAGCTGGTTGAAACCTGGAACTCTTCCCCGGATGCCATGGAGCGGCCGCGGACCATCGCCACAACCCGATCGGTGTCAGGCTGGGCGATCGTGGGGACTTACCCTCCCTCCAATCATGGAAGTGGACAACGTCCTCCTGGAAGTGGACATGTTCCTGGGGATAGTCCACTTCCGTGTTGGTTTCAGGGAGTGCATGTCATATGTAAAGTCAGAGCCATATGATATGGTGGGTCGTCCTCGTGGACCTCCGAAACTTCTACATCGTGCGAAGATCCACTCTTGACGATTGGATTGTGGGGTTCGAAGGTCTGCAAACTTTGGGTTTTGCGATTTGGTCACCTCAAACATTCACGTCCATCATTTGGATGTCGGTCTTGTTTGACGCCAGACCAACTCGCATTGTTTTATTGTTCTTTTTTCCAGTGATCACTTGCGCAAGTGATTGCTTGCGTTGTTGAACCACACAACTCCCAGCTTCCCCAGCTAAGCTGCTGGTCACTGCGAGATCTGACAGGATTGTGCTCGCCACCGGGGTCCCGCGACCGGGCTGCAAGAAGACAGATGCATGTGGGCAGAACTTATACACATTGGAGAGTGGAAACCAGGTGAAGCATGCTAAACCAAAGTACTTAGATACTGTTTGATTTCGTCATGCTGTTTCGTCCTTGTGCAGGGCCTGAGTTGACAGTGCTGGGACTCCCAAACAATACTGACCGCAATGGGTGTGCGCTTCAACGACCCATGGTGTGCTTTTGATGGCAAAATCTTGCATTTGATGAATTCACAGGCCCCCCGTGCATGCCGCAGATTGATACTCGTATTTGCAGGCAGCCAAAAGCACAGCGACGAATAAACAGCGATGAATGTTGATGGATCGCTCTCGTGTTCCGAAAAGAAGTAAATCCAGCCTGCGAAACAAACACGGGGGAGCTTCCTTTCTCAAGTGCCGAGCAATCAATCCCTATCAATCCCTTGTTACTGTCGAAGGAAGACACTTGTTTCACCAGATGACATCAAGAAAACCCACGGCGAAGTGACGGTATGCCAGGCTTTCTGGCCAGGTGCTTTGTCTTCCTTCAACAATTCCCTTGCTTGCCAGGTTCAGCGGCCTTCCAACGGGCGGGACAGTCCATGATGCCGACGCCGGTGATGGTGGGACCGATGTCGACCCGATTGGGGATGGTGGGGCCGGCCGGCTCGGGGTCTGAGTCTAAGGCAGTCACGACTTCTTCGTGGCGAGGAATGGCGGCACTGTTATTCAGATTTTCCTCAAATATGATCCATATGTACCCTTTAAACAGGGGAGCCTATCGAGGTTGATGCGTGTGATGATGCGTGTTGTGTTTTCCTCACCTAAGGCTTTCGAGGGACGTGGCTAAACACCAGTCAGAATCCGGATTGAAAGGTCACAGAGACACAAGAAGCAACAGGAATGAGATTGGCATGGTCAAAAGGAGTCCTTCAAGAACCCTTGGTAGGTTCTTTGTGGCGCTGTTGAGAACACGGAGAACTTGTCACCCAGGGCAACGGGTTTCTTGACCGAGTTACGAACACCAAGGGCAACGAGTGGGTGGGGGGTTGGGAAGCTCCGGGAAGTGGTTCCTGCACCGGGAAGCAAGTGGCCAAATCCGGAAAAAAGGAGGGTGGTGGGATGTGGTTGGATTCTGTTGGATTGCATTTGGCAGGTCATTTACGGACCCTTCGCCAAACCAGCCGGGCTGGCTCAGGGTCGGATGCTGTCGGATGCCGTGGGAAGGCGGTGGTGAGGTGAATCCTATGCCTCAGGGTACGTGGTATGGTTCCCCAATTCATCAATCCTGGATCATCCTAAATTTGATGCCTTTCACAACAATACCTACAAGTACGTCCTTGGGAAGGATGGGCGAAGGGCATGGGTATTTGAAGCTGAGGGGAGGCTTTTTCGAGAAATCCTATAGTACCAGAGGCTGAATGTCTCCCGAGCCCACCTGTATGTAATTAAGATTGGAACGTATAATTTGTGGGGGAAACAACTTCTCCCCGCCTGAATAAGCACTTGGTCCTTGGATTCGTCCGGAAATCCAACTGCTCAGTGATGTGACCGGCACCCGTTCGGGCTGGGTCGGGGGGTCAGAAAGGGTCATGTCATGTCGCAGACCAGGAGCTATTGAATGCTGTTGTACCATCACGCATTGGATGACAGTTGGAGTGCAGTGTACGTGAGAGCCATTGATAGCCCATTCTCATGCGCCACAAGAATTGCTGGCTAGCGTCTGCAGCGAAGCGCATATTTTAGTCTGTGGATGATTGATCGAGCAAATGGGTTCAATCTTATGTATATGACCAGTTGGAGCTCACCATGTACTCTATTCGAAGGAAGGCCATCTCACCAAGATTCTGACAGGGATCGAAGGTGTGCACATGAGGTGTTCTTCATCTTTGCCCCTCTGCACTGATGAGCACATGAAAAGCCACGAACGGCCCAAAGCTCTCCTACCCAGTGTTCACACTAAACCCCCCTGAAGCCTCCCTCCGCTCAGTCAACGGCGCCTAAGCTGGGCGGATGCATACGCAGGGTAGCCCAATGGGGAGGTGATTGGAGGGTTTGAGGCAGGGGCGTGCACTATTTAACTACTGGCTGGTGCTCTGTAGGGAGGGATCCCAAAAAAAATGACTCAGAAGATCTCAGAAGCGACTATGGATATGCATGGTTCATTTGCGTTGGCTTCGCTCAAGGAGGCCACGAGATTTGGCCAGGCTTGCAGGTGCAAACCGACCTACCATCATACCACCCCACCGAGAACTATGCGTGTCCCAACAGGCCAAGGTCCACAAAGGCTGTATCGATGGGTTTGGGCTCGTGAGTTGAAGAAAGAACAGAGGTTTGGCAAAGTGTCTTTATCTCTGGATAAAGCATGTGTGTGTGTGCTTCCAAAGCTTGGTCAGGTCGCACATTTCACAGCATTGGACTAAGGTTCGGCGACGCTGTCAAAGGTGGATTTGATGCTTATTGGCAGTTCAGCAGACGCGCTTAGCACTCGGAGTCGGTATGTAAAGAAATGGAGGCAGCACATATCTTCTTCTTCGCTTCACTGTTCAGTTCCCTGTTCCTTGCATTGACAAACAAGCCTGGGCGATTTGATTGCCCCAGCCCAAATGGAGTTGCTTTGGTTTTGCTTCGTTGCCATGTATGGTCTGACCAGCCGCACGAATTAACCCTTACGTTCGGTGAGCTGTGCACCACAGGGTTCAAGAATCCTTTGACCGTCGGAATCGGAGGTTCAAGAAAATGGATGTCACGGCCCCTTTCTCGGGGTGGAAGACGTTCCGATGCCCCCGACCACTGGTCTGAGGAGATGGCAGGTTATAAGTATTTCATAGTATGTTCTCACGCGCAGACACGAATGTACTGTAAAGCAACTCAACTCGTACGAAGAGACGAAACATAGCAAGCCCAAAAATAGCGGCCTTGCCCAGGAAAGATGTGGAGTTTTTCAGCCAGGACTGGGCGGAGTTCTGGAAGCGTAACGCAAACGGGTTATCGGCGCCTTTGAAGCAAAACTTACTTCCTTAGCCTCCTTATATACTCGATTAAGTCGGCGCCTACTGAATCAGGTAAGGTGCTGTAGCTACTTGTACGCTACTACCGACAGGACGGAGGATAGCTCACATGGGGGGAGCTTCCTTGAGGAAGCGCTCGCACCAATGATGTGGTTCCTAGATTTTTTTGGGAAACCTAGTTCTCGCCTCTTGAAGTCGTGGTTGCAGTTGCACTGGATGCGTCTTGAAAGTTTGAAGGTTTAACAGTCTAGACGTCCAACCATGACTGGAGCTGGGTAGAGAAAAGAGGTTCCATGTCCAAACATTGCTTCTAGCTAAGAACCTTCACTGCTTCAAGGAATCTTGGAGAGAGAGCCCTCACGTGCTGAAACTTGTGCATGAAAGGGTGATCCTCTTCATTGAGACATGCTTTCAAAGAACCTCGCCAGCATACGAGATAGTTCGGAGAGAACCCATCGTGAAGGGGACTCCCGTTGAATCCTCCTACAAATCAAATTTCTACTGGGGTCTCCCGTGGTCAGCCCGGTGTCACCCATGCACGCTGTCAGGAGCCTCTTAAGGAGCCTCTCTCTAA